CGTCTCCATTAATCCTGCAGTTCCAGATCTGCCTCAGAAGCTCATGCAGACACCGATCCTAAAAATAAAACAAAACAAAAGAGGGAGGGGAAAAAAAAAAAAAGGCAAGAGAGAGGTTGCAGTCAGTTTGTTATCCTGTTTCCTGAGCATCCCCGCCCCCAAGCGACATTCAAACCGAGGAGGCTGCAAGCGTCTGCTCACTTCCCCGGCTGTTTTCCTGCCTACTGGGGAACTTTTCCTTGCGTCCTCCTTCTCTGACCTGATTTCTCCTCCTGACCCCTGGGTACATCCTCCTGCAGACCCTGGGGAGGACCCGCTCCACTAATTCCCAGCTGGGAAAGGCGAAAGGCAGCGCCCAGCCCTCCAGACCTGCACCGCGGGGCTGTCAGGGAGCGCAGCCCAGGGAGGAAAGGCTCAAGCTCTCACTGGAAACCCACGGTCTTTTCTCATCTCCTCTCCAAATGGCCGTTAAGTATGCAGATGAGATTAATTAGTGCAGGAGGACAGAGAAAGGGCAAACGGAAAGGAACAAAGGCAGTGGGCTTGCTCACTTGCCAGCAGGGATAAAGGTGCATTTTGCACTGAGCATCTCCACCTTCACTGTGTAACTGGGGTTGTTTAACAATTGCCCTTAAAGTGAGATTTATCTTTACCCTTGCAGACGCAGCAGCCTCTCCCATGCACGCTGCCTGCACAAACGTTTGGAAACGGGACTGTAGGGTAGAGCAAGCACTTGCCAAAAAACCCAGAGAAGGCATACTCCTGGCTGAGCACCGCTCCAGTCTAGGACAGCATCGTTCCCTCTTCTCCCCGTGCAGACTCCTGAGACTTGTCCCCACCGATGCCAAGGTCCCACTGAGCCCCTCAGAAGAGCTTCCCTGGCAGCAGAGCAGGGCTGGCTGGCTCCATTTTTCTGTGGACCATAGTTTGAAAGTCCCAGGAGCAGAGGTTTGTTTCTGGACCCACTTCTCTGCCTCCTGGCAGACACCCAGCGCAAAGCCAGTGCCCCAGCCCATCCGCTGCTTGGGGTTATTTCTTCTTCTGATACAGCACTGTGGATGTGGGATGTGAGGAGCCAACTTGTTCTCTCCTACTTAAGATACCTAAGCACAAGTAAAGCAATCGACTGTTATGGTCCTTGGGTTTCTTAAGGGAATGGACTCCCTTCTCCCAAAAAGGGAGAACCAGACTTATTTCCTGCTGCTTCACCCAGAGCAGAGAGTGAACAGGTGGGCTCTGCAAAACTCCCTGAACCAGGAACCCCGCACCCCACCGCTCTGCCCTGCCGCAGCACTTACTCCCCAGGTCTGACCAGAAACCTTCAGCTCTCCGAGCCCTCTGACAGCCGGAGCAGACAGAGCCCGTAGCTTAGCAACAGCCACCTACAGCTGCCTTTCATCACCCATCACTTCGGATGATCTGCATGGGTATCACAATGCTTTCCGGGGAACCACAGCATGGAGCAATGAGGTGGATCCCCCTGGAAGGGGGGAAGCCCCCCCGGATGCACACAGGGCAGAGGCACGCAGCCTGTTGCTACTGTACCGCAGACTTGTCCTGCATGTAGCACACTGGGGATGCCACATTATTTCTTTTATAAATTCAGGCCTGTTGTGTTCATCAGGTAAGCGGGGAGACGGAGCTGGCCCTCAGACCACAGCCAGGGCATGTGCTGTTATCTCAGACAGGTACAACTCAGCATCCCCACAAACTCATCTCTGCCTCAGGGCTCAGCCTGCAGGGCCCATCTGACGGGGAGATCAGTTTCCACGGTCATGTTAGCTCCTACATCTCCTCTGAAAGTGTGAATGAGAGGAGGGTGATGGAAAAGCATCAGTGAAACAGGTTTCAGACAGCTAGACTGAGATCCATCAAAATCACTTCAACATACAAGTCTGAGCTGGCATGAAAACCAATCAATCCAAGCAGGGCTATTTATTTTAACTTATTCTCCCAAATAAATTTCGGTAGTCAGCTAAACATAATTTATTGCAAAAAGAATGTGGTTGTTAAACCCATAAACACTCCTCGGGCTGTAACCCTCCAGCAGCAGGACCCTGCACGGGCACATGCGCACATCCCCGGCCCCGTGGGGGCCGCAGTACAAAGGAACACAAAGCAACAATAAAAAGCAGCAGCAAGTCAAGCCACACTTTGCATCTTCCCAGCAGCTAAGGAGAAAGGGGCAAACAACAGACTAGAGCCCCAGCTGCTCTTCTCCCTTCCCTTCAATCCCTTGTCATCTGATGTGCATCACCACCCGCCACCGCGTCAGCTCAGGGATTTTTGCCTTGGCAGTTTAAGCAGCTCTGGACTATTGCTTTCATTAATAATTTACCTTCTTTCCAGGTGAATTTTCTTGCATTACCATGGACAAATTCAGCATGGGCCAGCAAATTAGAGAAGCAGAGCCAGCTCCTATTTCCAGGAGCATGACAGATTTGCATCCTGACCTCCGAGAAGTCATTTTCTCACCCTGTGCCTCAATTCCTTCAACTATAAAGTGGATTCCTGTGATGAGACACAATCAGCATCACTCAGGTGTCTGACAGAAGCAGAACCTCATGGTCAGTGCCAGACAGTTGCTTTGCTGTCATTAAGGCTATCCAAAGCTCAAGCATAATTGTCCAAAATTGCCTGGAAATTCTTTTTCAACATACCAGCACAGCATGATTCAAAGCACTTGGAGACGGCTGAGTATTGCTGTGGAGTGCTGGGCAGGTCCTTCATGAGGACAGGCAGAGCAGAGACCTGCAAATTCAGCCCAGCTGTGGTCCGGAAAGCAGGAACCAGCAGATCCAGAGAGCCACCACCCTCAGCAGCAGCAATGCAAAGCTCTGCCTGAATTCAGCTGCCTTGGCTTCGCATAATTTGCTATTCTTCTTTTTCATGCTCTTTAAAGAAAATCAAGGCCCATCTGAACCACTGATCCCACACCCTTTGTCTCTATCTCTCCAGCATCACCCAAATCTGGCTGGAAAGCAATGCCAGCGCTGTGCCGTAGGAGCTGTCGAAGTGTGCTGGCCAAACCCACCCCCCCGTGCGCTGCAGCCATGTTCTCCTCCCAGGCAGAGGGAATTATCACTTAATTATACCAAACAAATTGCAAGCATTATTTTTTTTTTTTTCTTAAATGGCTACATTAAAATCAAAAGGAATGGTAATTGCTTTTCTGTCAGAGGAGATGGCAGACACAGTGCTGAGCCCAGTCCAGGGGCCAATTCAGTTTGCCCTTGCAGGACAGAAACTTGCTTGAAATGCTTAGCAGGCAGCACAGCACCCCCACAACCTGCCCCCGGGTCTTTGCCAAGTGTCTATGGAGCACCGCTGGGCAGGGAGAGCCCCACAGCACCCACCAAGAGGGGAAGAGGGCTCCAGTGGGACCCCTCGGTGCACGGGTTGAGCTCCCTGCGCTGTAACACCCAGAGGCTCCCTCCAAGGAGTGGCCATTCCTCACCCCCCCCCGGTTCCATCAGGCTCAGAGAGCTCCTGGTTTAGTGGCATTTATTACCTGCAATGATTTGTGATTTATAAAAGAGATATGCTGGTGGGTATTAAAGTGATAGATGGGCTGAGCAGGGGAGAGAGATCTTGGTGCTGCTGAGTGCGGCTGCTCATGCTTTCCTTCCTCTCTCCGGGATATAGGAGTTTTGCTGCTCCGGGTTTGAAGTGCCCTCAGCTGCAGAGGTGAGATCTCAGCTGGAGCAGAGATCTCCACCCTCCAGCCATCGGGGTGTTCTTTTGGCTCATGTACTACCCTAAATATTGCACTGCAACTCTGCTGCATGAGCAGAGTGAAAAGGGGTCCCATTTACACCTCTCCAAATTGAAGGAAATGCAAAAAGACCGCAGATGAAAAGCCATGGAGTTACTCCCAAATCTTCTATTTTTAATGCTCATGCTGGGGACATCCAGCCCCAAGACATCACTGTACACACCCCTAGCCACACTTACACACACTCCTCTCCAGGGAGGAACTCGGGGCTAGAAACAGGAAGAGACCCGTGATCCTCTCTCAGCCCAAGGCAGATACAACTCACTACGAACCGATGCTGTACCACGCTTGTCTAACTTGCTCTGGAAAGCCTCTAGCACTTCTGCAGCCCCAGCAGCGGATCACTGCTGTGCCTCACAGAGCATCACCTGCTCAAACTGTCGCTTGGGGAACAGCGTTTGTTTCAGGGATACCACAAAGATCCAGGAAACAACCACGCTTCTCCCTGGCATCCCATCACAAGTTCACTTGAGCCATATCCAACTGACCCTTGGCTACCCCAGTAGCGTGACCCCAGACTTCCATCACCAAATCTGGGGATGGGTCAGACCCAGGACGCCCATCACAGCCCCGTCAGGACCTGTGCTCCCAGAACATCACTGCTGCCCGTATCGTCTCCCACCTGCCACACACCCACACGTTCCTTGTGTCACCAGGAGCACGTTAGAACAGACACAGCCAGCCACCAGCCTGACAGAGAAGCCTATTAGAGAAACTACCGCCTTCAGAGAAAAAGCTCTTGTACTCACCTGAACGTCAGGGCAGAGAAGCACAGGGCAGTCCTGCCACGTGCCAGCCCACACGAGAAAAGGGGCTGCAAAGCTGAGCTGAAACCAGCCTGACACACAGCCAGCATGGCAACGATTCCCATTTCTCCGGGGACAGGCAGGGACAGGGGCGACAATATGCTGGAAATAGCACACAAACACCGAGAAGAAATCACAGCTCCTGCTCCTCAGCACCAGGC